TATGGAAAGCATGGGTACTGTTACTACATGGAATACCTATTTCAGATACGTTACCATCCACAAAAATTTGATTTTTGTTCTCATTCTGTGTCTGACTCTCTTCTTAGCTGAGGTAAGAAAATCTGTGCTTGGTGTTATTTTGCTACAAATGATGTTTGTTCTAACTGTGTTCTTTGTGAAAATTTATGGATAAAGCATCAAGACATTAGCTCATGTATGTATTGTTTATTGACTGCTGTTATTACATTATATGACAATGACTTTTCTACTGATGAGCATTTCTTCACCAAAGGTAGTGGTTAGTGCACAGCAGCAGAAGACCCTGCTTCTCAAATTATCCCTGTTTTCTGCTACATGGTACCACAAATAAGCATTGTCACCCTATACAGGTTTCCTGTTCACAGGTGAATAATACCCCATTTTCCATTTAAAAAAATCTTTGCAGATCCTTGGGGAGTTAGCAGCAATAATTGCTATAATTTTTTTGATGAGTACATACAGGAATTCTAGCGTATTGCTCTGAAGAATGACTTACTAGCTTTGCTCCTGGTGAAAGAGGAGTGGTGAGTTAAGCACAATGCTGATGCCTGTGATGGAAGGAATATGTTTCAGGCTGGGAGATCAATAAGACTATATTCATGTCAACTTATAAAATGGAGTGCAAATTTCTCTTGGCATTTTTCAACATGAACTGGAAGAAGAGAAGACTCCATTAGGAATACAGGATTAGTTTCTGGCTGATTGTGGCAGCAAAAGCTTTTACCTGTTTTGTAATAGGATTCAAACTTCTTGTATCATCATAGCTGAAGATGGATGTGATTGATGGCATCCTGAATTTACACTAATGTTATCTTGCAAGTGATCTAAATTAGTTCTGTTGGACCAGGAATAAATACTGGAGCTTAGATCTAGTTTAACATCCTAAATTTTTAAACCAGCTACAGAAGCAAGACGGTGTTTAGATGCATAGCTGTTCTTATTGTGTCAGTTTTATTTTCATAGTAGGGGAAAATGGCTATGTAAACCTGCAACAGCAAAGCTGAATGTGAGTTATAGAGGAAAATGAAATTTTAACTTTCAGGTATGCCAAATTTATCCCTGCATATTCAACGTATATTTCTAATTTTAAGTACGCATTTTTGCTTTTGTATTAGACTAAAGCCTTTTTAAGTAGTTCAAAACCCTCTTCTTCTAATTGAAGAACAAATCTTATGACAAAGAATGTTTCCATAGAAGTTAAACTTTCCAGTATAAAAGCCTATTTACAAATGAATTGGATGGAAGATAGTCAGCCATAGCACACTTTAGCAAACCACTGCTGAACAAAATCCTTTGTTGTGAGGAGTCAAGATTAAAACAGAATTCTGCTGGGAGATTTAAATGTTTATTGTGAAAGAAGCCTGATTCTCGCAAATGCTTAAATTCAGGACATCATGGTCAATCTTGAGTTATTTACTGTGAGACCTGCAAAAGTTAGTGGCTCCCAAGGAGAAGACTTCAGTTATATGCTGAGGTATTATCACAGTACATTTCTGTACCAGTCACATAAAAATCTATGGGAAGAGAATGTAGAAACTGTTTCAATATAAGCAGTTGATCATAAGCAGAAGTAGAGCAGACTGAAAATCTGGTAGAGTAGATGAGGATCTCCACTATCTCAGTGGACAGACAAGAAAATGCATTATAGACTAAGCTTCTGTTGAGCACTGAAACGTCTCACAAGAAGAAGGGTTTAATTCTACATTGAAAAAATTTAAAAAATATAACAGTAGATTATATGGAGAATTATGTAAAACTAGCAGCCAAGCGATGACAAATAGATACACCAAATGTAGATATCAGCTTACAAGAACAACAGTGCTGCCTTGAAGATACTGAGAGGCTTGCTCTTTTAGGGCCATTGAAAATATAAATCTTTAAAACTCAAAATATGTTAAATAAGTTGTCATTAGGAATGCATTAACAATCCTTTTTTTAATAGTATGGTAAAAAACAATGCAAGAATATTTTGGCACTTGAAAGACTGATTGTAATACAAGTCTAAATGTAGCATTCCTAGTGGGATGCACTAAATGGTTTCTGTGCAAAGAGAACCAGATATGACAAGGTTTTTGTTTCAGGGAAGTTTGACTTCCATTGATTTATTATGCTCCAGCTAAAGTCAGTGAAAGAGGATAAGTAAGAAAAAGTACATAAAGTGATAAGACAAAATTTGACTCTGTTTTCTTTGGTCACAGGTAGCTGCTTCTATTGCTGGGGTATTGTTTCTTAAAAAGTAAGTAGTGGTGATAATTTATTGAGAAACTGGGGTCTCCTTTATATTAATTTTTGCTATGAATAATTAATAAATTCTGCCAGGATTCTGTATGAATAGGGATTAGGTTATATTCAACAAAATGGTTCATAGATGGATGATCTGAATACCTTGTGTAGGTAGTACCTTAAGCTGGTACTTCTTTAAGCACTAACAGTCCAATGGTTTGTGCCTTCTTATTGGGTACACAATAGTGTACACAAGAATTTTCCTGGGCCAGTTCATGCAAGGAACCTGATTATCCTGAATACACTGTTGTTCACCGCTGTCTTTCAAAGGTCCCAGGTGAGACTTTTGCTCAGGAACATTTTAAGGGAGCAGTTTATGTAAGACCAATTGTACAATTTGCTCTACTCACCTATGAAAATTTCCCAGAAGTTACAGGGTCAGACAATTGCAGGTTAAAACATACTGAGCAGTGGCTTTTCATGGGTTAATGCTTTTGATCCCTGTTTTTGTCCTGCAACGCTAAGTCTGTGTGTTTGAGTATAGAAGCATATGGTGACTTAGGTCTGATCTGGAGGAGGAGGGATTTATGTTCATTTCCCCTTACAGTAGGTCACAAAGGCCTTTGATTTTTATAGTACACCTAAAGCATTCTGTTTCCATAGTCATTCAGTTTTTCCAAGACTTAAACTGTTTTTTTCTGGTTAAAAGAAGAGGATGTGTTTTCCTAGGCTAGGTTTGTCAGTAATTAAACAGGCAGTAGATTTGCAAGAGACCACCAGAGCAGCTCATAATTTATATTTCATATATACATGATGTTTAAAAAGTGACTGGAAATATGTAGCTAACAATTAATGTAGTTTTAAAAGAAATGAACACTGCAGTACTATTTGGTTTTGTTTAGTAGATAAAAGAGAAAAAACCCACTATTTTAGCTAATGCATTATGCTTATAATTTTCTCACACAGGACAGCTTTGAAGGCAAATTCAACCCAGTCAGAAAACAGTACCTCTGACAAACCTCCTGTGATTATCACTGACACTAGCAGCTACTACATCATTTACATCTATGTGGGAGTGGCAGATACCCTGCTTGCCATGGGAGTGTTCAGAGGTTTGCCCCTTGTGCATACGCTTATAACAGTGTCTAAAACTCTTCATCAAAAGATGGTGCATGCAGTTCTTCATGCACCTATGTCAGCATTCAACTCTTGGAAAGCAGGTAACTCAGATGGGAACTGCTTGACTCATTTATGCTTTTCATTTCTATTACACAGTTTTCATTCTGTTAAAGGATACTGTTGCCTTCCATTTACCTTTTCAGTCAAGTGGAATGTTAGAAGTTTGCCACATAAAGTGGTTTGTGAATCTTTTAATGAAACTTGATTGAATTTAAGTCTGTCATGTTTCAGTTGTCAGTTCTGATTCTGAAATAATCACCTTGTAAGTTGGCGAAAATTAACTGTTAACTGCTCTAGGCAATAAAACTAGAATAACTTCTAATGAATAGACTTTGTCTAAAAGTGCAGTGGAAAAGATATAGTCAGCTATGTCGTGAGTGACAAGGATTCGGGTGTGGATGACAAATAGTGCTTTATTTCATAAGTAATCCTCCTAAAATGGCATAAAACATCAGTTAGTGTGAGTAATGGTATGCGTATTCAAATATGGTTCTGGAGTTGATACAGAGTTCATTATATAACTGGTGCAACAAGTTTCATCTCCCACTGTACATGAAATTCCTATCTCATACCCTTCTTACGGATACTTTCTAGATTACAGGAGACATTGGTAAATGGCAGTGCAACATAGTTTTTTTTCCTTCATTTCCCCATTATATTCTTAATTTTGTTGTTACCTGGTGATTAATACAGTAATTCTGCTTGGAATTGGTTATAAACTCATACAAATGCTGATGTGTAAATTGTCAGCAGGGCATGCTTTATAAGGGGTGCAGACCTTATGCTTTGTGCCTATGTTTCTGCCCTTTTTAATTGTTTCTTTGTTTTCGTTACTTTTTCCTGGCTTTTATCCAAGAACTGAAACAGAAGTTGTCTAGCCAAATTCCTCTATAGGGAGAGAAGCTGTAGCTCCACTAAACTGTAATGGAATTGTACTAGGAAAAAAAATCTTCTACTTATCGTAAATATTTTGTATTCAGAAAAAGTCGTACTTTTGTTAAAGTAATAGATGTAGGATTTTTGGGGTACTCAAATGTTTGACTCTTTTTTTTTTAATCCCTAGGTGGTATGCTTAACAGATTCTCAAAAGATACAGCAATTCTGGATGACTTACTTCCACTTACAGTATTTGACTTCATTCAGGTTTGTAGAATAAAAATTCTAACTTTTGCTGTGTTCTAGCAATATAAGGTTTCAGTCGCATGTCATGCAAAAGAAATCATATCAAATGTTTTGAGTCTATGTATCTATTTACGTAGATGCTTATCTTGTAAGTCAACTTAATTGCTGCTATTTTGAGTACTTGCCTATATGTGCACCTCTGCTGTTTGTGCAAAGCCCTCAGGCTCAGAAGTGGTTTTGCCCTGCAGACCCCTGCAGGACAAATATCCCTGCTGCTGCCCACATTCAACTGCAAGATGTAAAGGGATTAGTTTCTTTCAGTTATCTTGGCTCAAGATTACTAGCTGTTTCGTTCTGTTCTTTGGTTGCATTCAGTCATTTTCATGACTTTACCTCTTTAAGCTCTTCTATTCCCAGTTTTCTAGCATCACCCTTAATTAACTTCTCTCTTATGAATATATTCTTGGCTTTTCTGTTCTTTTATATTCCATAGAAATGCCAGTTTTTCCTTAGATATTGCTGATTCCCATAACATTTTAAAAATAAAACCAAAATCTTCCCTGACCCTCTTGTTCCTCTCTACCTTTATTTAGGAGATAGGCAGGTCTGACTTAATCATGCTAAACACTCTGCTGTACAGCTTGCCTATGAGTTTGCTCTGCTTTACAGTCCCTACCAACAAGATGATCTGGTAAAGACAGAATCCCTTTCCCTTTATCTTTGTTGTTAATTGATAACTTTGGCTTATGACTTCACTGAGGCCAGTGCAGCTCAACATGAAGAGGTTCAAGTATATTATAGCTCTACTTCATGTCCTGTTGATGTCTTGAAGATTTGCTGAATGAATAAACATGGATGTTGAGACCTTCTCCAAATCATTAGTGTAACCTTTGGTGTGGTCAGGAGTCACTACTGTCTTTTCTGGTGTGGCCATTTTGTTTCTGATATTTTGCATCTACCATGGAGGTGTTATTCCAAAATTATGTTAGTTAGTCTCTCTCTACATTTCACACTGTCTACAAGAAACTGACTAGGTTTTCATGTTTTCAAGAATAAGGAAAATCTCAACTTGGCTTTTATGTTCTGTCTCTGATGCTCTAATATCCTACAGCTTCACCTCTCCTCAATCTCAACTACAGAGGCTCCTGAACACGTGTGATAAGCTGCCCTGTCTTTCCAGGTTCTTATGGTGAAGATCATTGAACTTACCCACTGTCTTGAATCATTTTACCAGTCATTCCTTCATAAAAAATTCCTTCTTATCTTCCATAGATTCTGATTTGTTTGGCAGCTTCCATGGACTCTGCTAATAAACAAAATCAGATTTCTCTTAAAGATACAGGAAAGTTATGCGTATTACTTTCTTCTTCTGTGCCTTTTGTCAAAGAGTCACACAATGTGGAAGGGACCTATGGACCTAGAACCTGGGACCTTTCCAGCCCCTCTGCTCAAAGCAGTTCAACTAGAGCAGGTTGCTCAAGGCCAAGTTGGATTTTGTATACCTCCAAGGGTGGAGACTCAACAAGTTCTCTGAGTAACCTGTTCCAGTGTTTGACTATCTCCACAATAAAAGTGTTTTTTTTATGTGTGGAATTCTGTGCATTTCAGCTTGTGCCCATTGCCTCTTGTCTTCCCAGTGTGTGCCATTGAAAAGAATTTGGCTCAAGCTCATGTGCTCTGCACAAAATACCTAGTGGTATTTATATAAACGGAATGTAATTTTAAATATATGTTAATTATAAAAGATTGCATATACAGAAACATAATTTATGTAATATAGTAAATATCACCAGATAGTTATACAAAGTGATAAGACCACCCTAAGCCTTCTCTTAAGGCTAAATAATCCCAGCTCTATCAACCTGTCCTTGTATGTGAGTTACTGCAGTCCCTTTATAATTTGAAGACCTTTCACTGGATTCACTCCGGTCTGTCTGTATCTCTCTTGTACTGGAGGGCCCACTCCAGACACAGCCTCACTGGTGCTGAAGAGAGGGGAAGGATCACTTTCCTCGATGTTCTGACTCCCTCACTGCAGAGTGGTCTTGCTGCCTCCCCAACGCTGTCTCTGCAGAGCTTGTTTCCAGTCAGTCAGCCTCCAGCCTGTTCTGGTGCATGTAGTTATCCTTCCCAGGTGCAGAGATTTACATAAAAGGTTAGCCTAAATGCTTGAATGCCTAAAGGGGAGTGTGGTGGAGATGGAGACTTAGTCTCTGCTAAGCTTCAGTTTATGTTTGCTAAGTTCATCCTTCTGACTTTCCCAAGAATTTGGCACAAAATTGTGGTGCTGGTTCTTACTTCCTCTTCTATGAGAACAAGCTGGTAAATGACTGTGGCTAGCTGCTTGTTTAGGGACACTGTGTCCTTCTCTGTTGCAGCAGTGGATGTCATGCCATAGTTTTTCTTAGGACGTTTGTGTGCATTAGACATACCAAAGGGCCTTCCCTTTTGGAAAGCAGGGCTTTTCATCCAGGATGAAAGAATGGCTTCAGGAGGCCCCAGGATGAAAGAGGCCACTGTTACTCTTGAGTCCCTGGTTGCTGATAAAAGGAGTGGCATCAACCTTTCCATCAACGACAGGAGATGGCGTCTGTGAAGGTTCTCTGACTGCCATTTGACCTGTTTCTGTACGTCTTGGGTTTGAACTCTAACCAGCTAATGACTGCAGTAATATTACCACTACTCTTAACGTCCATCTTGTTTGTCTACAAGTGCTTTCAGTGGGGTCATTATTTCTTGGAGATCCTTCATGTTAGATACTACCAGCACATATTGCTTGTCCCTAAGGTTAAATATAGTCACACTCAAAAGCTCCTAGTGAACTCACTGAACATTCATGCCTATGGTCATGACTGGTTTGCCCTAAATAATAAACTCCTAGTGGTTAATCAAATTGGTTGCTGCAGTCATTGCTGCCCTGAACCCAAGCTGAGTTGCTGTCTCTGCCACCAGTTGCATTTTCCAAACTGAGTGACATTGGAACATATCTCCCCATCTAAACCATGACAGGCCTCTGTCCCAGGGCTGAAATTTCAGCAGCTGAGGTCACTGCAGCACAGTCTGTGGCTCTTAACTGGGCTGCATGAGCCCTCTGCAGCCATTCCTCAGCTATATGCCAATGTAGTTGGCTTGTGGTTTGGATTTTTGCTTCTGCGTTGTTAGAGAAAGCATCATCTTCTGTTTGACTTTACCACTTATTTTGTATTTGGAGTTTATGAGATAACACAAATTTTTACATTCAACATTTTAGTGAAATAACTGTGGGACCAACAGTGAGAACAATATGGCATCATGGTGACCTTTGCAAAATTTGAGTAAATGATGGAATCGGGAATTAGAACAGTCACTGAGTGACTGTAATCTCCAGTAACGCGAGAGCTGCATAACTTGGCTGAAATTTGAGTAAATGATGGAATCGGGAACTGGAACAGTCACTGAGTGACTGTAATCTCTAGTAATGCGAGAGCTGCATAACTTGGCTCAATATCAATTGGACGGTTCATTTCCTTCTTAAGAATTACAGATACAAGAGTTACTAAATTCTGCAGTTTGAAGCAATGAGTAAACACCAATCCATTCTTGCATTGCTGCAGACCAGTGCTATTCAGCCTGCACAAGCATAACCCACATGTGACACCAATCTTTTAAGAGAAATGAGGAAAATAAAGGAATCATAGAATCATGAAATCATTTGTTTTGTAAGGGACCTGAAAGATCATCTAGTTCCAACTCCTCTGCCATGGGTAGAAACACCTTCCACTACACTGGGTTGTTTAAGCTCCATCCAGCCTGACCTTGAATACTTCTAGAGATGGCGCATTCACCACTTCTCTGGGCAACCTGCTCACCACCCTCACAGTAAAGAATTTCTTCCTAGTATCTAATCTAAATCTACACGCTTTCGGTTTACAGCCATTACCCCTTTAACTAGTTCAGCAGTAACAGTAATTTTTTCCCATAAACTTTAGTAATGCTATTGCATTAGTAAGATGTCTGATGAAAAAAAAAGACAGGAAACTTGGAACATGCTTATCTGTTCATGAAAAACCTCTGACTTGGAGTTCGGGGAATTTAAAGCCTTCCCTTGGATTTATGTGGACATAGTAGTAAAAGCACCAACTTTTTTGGCTGGTTTCTTCCTAATGTGAAATGAGTTTTGCTTCCATCTGTTTCTTTTCTGACTGGTCATTCGCAGTGATGTCTCAATGCAATGTTCATCATTTTGTCCAGACTGTCCATTTGCAACTGGTTTATGCTGGTAAGTTTGTAGCTTGAAGTAGTGTTAGAAGTTACACCCTGATACAAAGAAGAACTTTGCTATTCTATGTACACTGATTTGTTAGATTTAGGTATGAGACAAAAACAGATTAGGTGCTTAGGGTACTTCTAGACTTAAAGATCAAGAGCTGATTTAGCTAACCTGTCTGGAGCTACTGAGGATGAGGTCTTAGAATGGTAGTAGTCTCTGGTAGGTTAAATAGGTTAACTCTGGAATGATTTTGTTCCTTTTGAGTCATCTGTCACCTTAAACCACTTTTTTTTCTCCTGAACCTGCTAAATTTGTCATACCATAAGTCCTCTTACTTAATATTTCCTGTCTTTTGATCAGGATGAGCAGTATTGCTAGTTTCATATATGGGTTACAGTCCCTTGAGCAAGCAATGAAGTATGATTTCCCAAATTTTTTGACCCTCAGAAAACCTGCTTGGCCCAAAACCTGCAGGAGACTGGTATTCAGCTCCTGACAGTCTTGCACACCTAGTCCAGACAATACAGGGACGGATTTGGTAGGTGGCTGCAGACAACACTGGCAGGTTTGGTAGGTGGCTGCAGATATTGCAAGTGTTGTTCTTACAATTTTAACTGGAGAAGTGAGTGCCTAGCTGCCATTGCTTTTGTGTGGCTTTATAATTTAGAAGCTTGCAATACTGATTGTATTACAGAAAACACTTCTTCCATCTATTAGAAAAGATGGCAGCATATTGCAACAGGTTATGGGTCTGGTCCAAGTTATTCGTGATCTTTTCATGGAGGTTTGTTCGCAGCTGCAAATCCTACTTAGGTTAGCAGTTTATGTTTGTTGAAACAATACATAGTTGCCATGGGAAGGAGTTTCAGCACCAATCTCTAGTCTATAAAATGACAAGTTTACTATATCAATAGTATTTTTCTTTCATTCTACAGTTAATACTGATTGTGATTGGCGCTATAACAGTAGTCTCAATATTAGAACCCTACATCTTCCTGGCATCAGTGCCTGTGATAGCAGCCTTTATTGTGGTAAGGGCATTCTTCCTCCACACTTCTCAGCAGCTGAAACAACTGGAATCTGAAGGTAGGAGCAGCAAAATTGGTAGACATCTAAATCCACAACAAATCAATTGAGAAGTGATTCACCCTTTCTCTTCTTCTTTGCCTTTTCTCTTGTGAGATGACATTGTCTCTGGGAGCAGAACGTGTATCTCCATAAAGCCAGGGTTGTTACTGTTACCTAAAGATCAGGGCTGATCCAGCCAATAATGAGTGCTCTGCTGCCAAAGAGCAATAAAGAAGATCTTTTTAAAGGTGGGCTTTATCACTACTGCAGCTGAAAACAAATAAAGTCCTGACATACAGCTTTCTTGAGAGTAATTTGCACCATTGTGGTCAGACTTGGCATATGCCCTATGAGTTTGTTTCTTTATAAGAAAAATAGATACATCTTGATTGCAAAGAACTCTTATTTCTGAATAAGTTATGTGACTAAAATTCCTTCCTGTCCTTCCATTAAAAGACTAAAATGTTCCAAATGAAATTGAAAACCTCATTCTGAAGTTTGAGTTAGCAGATCAAGCACTGTTGCCTGGCTTTACAACAAACTGGCAGATCCTCAGCAAATCAGTCCTGGATCTTAAACAGTTATAATCATTTTCCCTTTTACTTAAGTGTAATTCTGAACTTCCTCAGATCTAAATCTAAATTTCTTTGATGTTCACAGGGATCCAGCACTAGCTCACCACTTTTTATGTAACGCAAGATCTGCTTAAAATTACCATGTCAGCGCAGCTGAATCCAGAGCATTAATGTACTCTGCCTATGCTAACAAAGCTTCATGTGATGGAGTTGTCAAAACTGCAGGAATTAATTTTGGCTGGGGAGGAGTGGCCTTTCTCTTGTGGCATCTTACAGAAGGCCAGGAGCCTCCCCAAGCAGTGTGCTAACTATGAAAAATTAACGTGATCCCTTTCAATACACTGAGTGTGATTTCAACCCATTCTTGCAAGGACCATTGTATACCCTGTGCTAGGATGACTTCGGTCATGTACTCCGACAACAAATTAAAACACTGCCAGTAGTTATGCTGCTGTGAGTTAGAGCACTGGGGAGGGTGTTTGCATTATATCAAGGCATTTGCTTATGCACACTTATGTCGTTTCTAATTTAAACACTTTACAGCTCGGAGTCCCATTTTCACCCATCTTGTTACAAGCTTGAAAGGGCTGTGGACACTGAGAGCTTTTGGGCGGCAGCCGTATTTTGAGACCTTATTTCACAAAGCCCTGAACCTACACACGGCAAACTGGTTCCTCTACCTGTCAACACTGCGCTGGTTCCAGATGAGGATAGAAATGATTTTTGTTGTCTTCTTTGTTGCTGTGGTGTTTATCTCTATCATAACTACAGGTATGGTTATTTTACCCAAGTACTGAAATGGAAGCTTTCTGCTTCTCTTTAACAGCTCAGCCTTAGAAACTTCTGAGGGAAATAAACCATTGCAAAATTTAGCATATGTTGGAGTCACTGATTTAAGTATATTGTAAAAGTAAATACAATTTAATTAAAATAGAAACCACATTATTATAATCTTCTGGCTGATATTGTAGAGGACTCATTAAAGGGATTATCTGAAAATAATACCTGAAAGGACAGAACTTTCCTTTTCTTGACTGTAATTGCTGCAAAAGTAATCTCCTGTGTTTTAAACCACATTAGTGTACTGAAAAGCCTGGAAGTTGATTATCATCTGTATAGCTCAAAGGTTTTTAGTATATAGAAGTTAATGTTCCTCTCACTTGCAAATGGCTAAGACATGCAAAGTTTTAATGGTCATTTAAACCCACACCACCAGCAGAAATAGTCATCCAGTTCTTTAATTCCCAACCCACTGACTCATTTTGTTTCTATGTGAAGTTTTGAAAATTCCATTCCAAATCCCCTTAAAAATGACTCGCCACTCCTAATAAGCACAGTATATGAATGAGAATTACACTATACGTTACTAGCTTACTTGTATTTGAAATGGTGCCCATGGCTGGCCAGGTGTAGCCAGCCTGCAACAAGCAGAGAATAGGAGAATGATGTCCCCAAAATGCTGGAATAAATCACTTCTGTGGAGAAACTCAGATTACTTCAGATACAGTTTTTAATTCATTATGCTTTTGTGATGTTTGGGCATCATTCTTCCTCACCAAGTTTAGTGCTGAACTTTGTGTACAGGATCTGGATGCAGTTTCAGTACTATGGTTGCTGATGAACAGAATTTGGTGATTTTGTGGAGGAGGTTTTTAAATCTAGCAATATTCAAATTTCATTCAGTTGTAGTTCAGTGTTGAAAAGGAGTTACATAAAGGTGTACATTTTATCGAATATTGTATAGTTTATGAAATGCTGTCCTGTAGCTCTTGTATATTGTTGTACATTTCTGATTATTAGAAAAAGATAAAATCCAACCACACAAATACTTCTGTATGAAAATAGGCACCTACAGTACTTTTGTTACAGAGGAGACTTTCAGTTCCCCTAAAATTCATAGGAAAACAATATCCCCTGCTGCTTGTATCATTGCTCACTTTGTGCCCTTAGTGGTTCAAGGACTTTTGGAAAACCTTTTATTGTGTTACTGTTTTTTTGGATATTTTACTTGAGAAAAGGGATTAGAGGCACTTCTTCAAAATGGGAAAATTTGTCATCTTGCCACCACTGTAACCTTTACTGTTACAGGTAGTAGGTCCTTGGTGCAACACTAAATTCCTTTTCTTAATCTGTCAACTTTCAGGAGGAATATTTTGCTTTCAATGCTTACTTGTATGATTACTCTGACAATGAGATGTCTATAAGCAAAATGGGAGGAGGTTTGTTGAAGGAAACCATAGAAGAAATGGAGAAATCATAGAAAGGCATTAGGCTTAAATTCTCAGTTCTGTTTAACACATAGTGAGGTTAAAAATCAACAATAGAGTAGTTTAAATGCTTATATTGTATTGTAGAAGCTCATAAAGGAAACTCCCATGCTTGTTACAGCAGACAGTTAAAGCAAAAGAATTTATATCTGTGTCTTTGTGAAACACTAAGGAGAACATGTCCTCTATTTGTCCAAGAAATGAAAATGTGAGCCAGTGCAACTATTTTGAATTTTGAAGTTGTTACCTGTGTGTAGTGTTTTAGTTAGATAAGAGTAATTTCACAGATTCATGTGTGTTGGAAAAAAAGAAGGTCAAATCAAGATTGCAGAAACCTGATTCTGTTTACAGCTTAAGTACCAAGATTTAGTGTTTTTTCTTCTGCCAAAGCAAGATCAGGGTTTCTGGTGAATTCAGTGCCAAAGCCAGGTGTTTAGCTGATGGTTAAGCTCTCAGTCCTTTGTATGATTAACAGATCCCTGTTTTCTTCATGAAATAAAAGAGGAGAGAATGTGAATGTGTATTTTAAGATATACATACTGATATTCGCATTTTTATTGTTTTTTTCTCTGAATGTGTATTTTAAGATATACATACTAATATTCGCATTTTTATTGTTTTTTTTTATTTGCATAGAAATTGAATGTGTTTTTTTTCTCCACAGGTGATGGACCAGGTAGAGCTGGAATTGTTCTTACTTTAGCTATGAACATAATGGGAACCTTGCAGTGGGCAGTAAACTCAAGCATAGATGTGGATAGTTTGGTAAGCATAAAATGCACTGTGCAGTGCTTTCTTTTGAGGACTTGCTTTATTTTGGTGATTATGGTTGTGCAGTGAATTATCTTCAGAGTCAGACATCGGGCAGATGTGGCATAAAAGTTCCCTTTATGCCTACTGACTTTGGTATAGTACACACTTAGTTTTTCCATGATAAAAAATTTTCCTGGCCTAGAATAGGCAACAGCAAATATTTGCATTTGAAGTTTCAGATTGCAGGAATGTGTGTGATGGGAAACAGTGATGTAACAGTGATGGGAAAACTTCAAAAAGGCTTGGAATTATGTTGTTATTATATTCATATATATATATATATATTTAAAATATACTT